GAATAAATTGCTGCGTTTCATTGGGGTTGCCTGCAGGGGGCGCTTATCTGGGAAAGCCTTGATCCACTTCGCCCGCCTCATTCCAGTGATTTTTCAAAGTGTCCTCCTTTATATGAGACCACAGTTGGAACATGAACAAACTCTTGTCTCTCTCTATTTGTGCGGTTGCTACAACCGTACACCGCACAAAAAGATGGCATTTTGACAGCGCTTCTTCTTCTACTATATCTCCGTGTATAAACCCGGCAGACTGCACCGCAAGGGTACGTCACGTCCGGTCCTACGTTTGTTTTCTGCGCCACTGCCCTGACGTCATATGAAACCCAAGAATAGGGTCCGCTTTCTATTTTGCTTCTATTTAAATGATCGGGAGACATGATCTGACGAGATTTGTCAAGGATGAAACATGAATTACATTTGGGAGAAAATAGCTGCAGACCCTAACCCTAACCCAAACCTTCAGTTGCTTTAAGCTTTGAACTCAGAAGTGAGAAGTGATGTCACACTGAACAGCCCCACAGCAGCTGAGCAAGACACTCCATGTTTCACTCCCAAATAATTTAGATCGACACATGTTTGATTCAGTATTATTTTTGTGCTTTTAAATTAATAATAGTATATTTCTGCGCAGTACCGAGGCCTGAGGTGATGCCTGAGGACTGTGTGTCTCTGTCAGGGGCAGGGGCCGGAGCAGGGGCCACCTCAGGGTGATGCTTTGTGTCTGGACCATAGACTGTATATATTAATGGACAGAGTCACGCCTATCTCAGCCGTTCTTACTAATGGGCCAAAACATGGGCTCTACTGGAGCTATCCAAAAGGCCGCGAGTGGTCCCGCCCACAAGAAAATTGTGAAAAAACGCACCTGCGCATGCGTCAGCTGGTGCAGCTCCATTCATTTGAACGAGAGACTTCAAAAATTCACAGCAAGTAAACTTGAGTGGACCAAAAAAATCCACCCCCATCAGCATTGACACACATGTGGAACGGAGCTTTGGGCCAAGAGCCAACTTTTGGTCCATCCTGTAAAGACGTTTTTGAGAGGTCTGCCAATGCTATATGTTAGCATTGGCTAATTCTACTTCTGGGTCCACCCCCATCGGTCCGGGGTGGTATTGCAGCATGTCAGCGCACGTCATTTTGGCCACTTTAGAGCTGGGACCCTCCCCCACTGGGGTGGACCAGAGCTAGAGCATTTTATCTACTGCACATTTGAACCCAGGACCTTTTTGCCCAGATACAAGAGTGCCAACCAGGCCCAGTTTATACGGAGGCGCTGCGCAGATGTTTCCAGGTTATTAACAGAAACGACTAGGCTCCTTATGCAAATTTCACAGCATTCATTTCATAGGAGGATCAAAAACGATGTAGTTCTAGCGCCCGGCCAGTAGGGGGCAGAGGAACTTTACAACACGACACACGCGAGCCCCAGCCCCCCCACAGTATTCTCACTTCCTCAACAACATCCTCCTCAAAGACGTGAAAAAATGCACAAACATCATTCTTTAACAGCAGCTGCGAAAATAGAAACTGAAACTAGAGCTTTGCGTGGTCTCGTTTGGATGAACGGAGGAGGCGCTCGAAGCACACGTAGCTAGTTAGCGTACCCGCCGCCATTGTTGTACTGCGCATGTCCAAATGTACGTGCGGGGGGCAGCGGGAGGCGGGGGTCAGAGCAGCAGAGAATTCACACCTTTTTCCTTCACGCGGGTGTGAAAGAGCGCCCCCTGCTGATCATCTGAGCTGTCCCACTCTGAGGCTGGATCTGAACTCTTACGTTTTCACCTGGAATACAGTCTCCGTATGATGGAACTGGACAAAATGATCAAAGTAACATACTGATACTTTTACTGATCATTTTGTCCAGTTCCATCTCGGTCCAAAAGAGCATTTTTCCGCCGCTCATTTAGAGGTTAAAAAAGGTCAAAGATAGAAGTACTTTAAATCTAAATACAAATTTCTTGCTTTATTTGAGTATTCCATCTGAAGATCAAAAACATGAGCTCGAGTCGCACCAGTGGTACATTCACCACTGTTTGAGAAGTGTCCCCTCTGTCCCCGAGACCCACAGTAAATATTTATCACTTCATCTTTAATGTTGCTGTAATGTTCCACAGTTTAGGATTACAAAATTGTAATAAAATAAAAACACATGAATTTAAGAAAAAACGCCATGAATTAGTGAATTTAAACCGAGGCTGGTTTGGTCCCGTCAGACCTCAGATGCTAAGCAGGACAAGGCCTGGTTAGTGCTGTGATGGAAGACTTCTGAGAAGACCAGGTGCCACAGCACGGTGGCACGGTGGCTGAGTGGTTAGCACTCTCGCCTCTCAGCAAGAAGGTCCTGGGTTCGAATCCCGGTCGGACCAGGGCCTTTCTGAGTGGAGTTTGCATGTTCTCCCCGTGTCTGCGCAGGTTTCCTCCGGGTACTCCGGTTTCCCCTACCACTAAAAATATGTCCAATAGTTCTGGCATGTGCCTCCTGTACTGGCGACCCCGCTCCCATCTCTGTGTGGAGTGAGAGACTAATGCCCAAAAATTAACAATTGTAAACTGCTTTGAGACTCAGATCTGCAGTGAAAAGGCGGTATATAAATACAAACTTACTTACTTACTTACTTACAGCGGCTGTAAAGTAGTAAACTGGAGAAATGAAATCATGTTGTGAAGTGCCTTTGGGCAGTAATATTTAGCATCTGTGGAAATTTTACTATATTTATCTTTAAAATTATATATTTTTCCAAATAATTAGTTTTGTTTTCCATGCGCTTTGGTATCAGTTTCTGTTGGATTTGACAGAACAAAAGGAGGAGAACGAAGAATGATTACTGTAAACTGAAAGGTCAAATGCAATTTTAGATTAACTCATTATTTGGGTCTTCTTCATGAGAGAGATTTGGAGACGGTCAGTGCAGCGTCTGCAGTGATGTGGTTGCTACATCTGACTGTTGTGGTGAAGAGGGAGCAGCGTCTGCAGTCAGAGTCCTGGATTTACTATTATGGTGCTTCCAGACCGGCAACGCTGAAATGCACGTTCTCTAGTTTTCAGACGCAGGGGTCTTCAGACCAGAGCTCCTGGTGCGCGCCGAAAGTGGAGGAAGTAGCCGGCCGGCTCAGATGCTAACAGAGTTATGCTAGCGGCTTCTTGTGTAAAGATCTTCTCCAATAATGCAGCTTTGCAGCGTGTCTGTGTTCTGAGACCTTCCACAGACTTTATATAACAGTAGTATGTGTTCACGGAGGTGACTTTATATAACAGTAGTATGTGTTCACGGAGGTGACTTTATATAACAGTAGTATGTGTTCACGGAGGTGACTTTATATAACAGTAGTATGTGTTCACGGAGGTGCGCAATAAGTTTATTTTATTTTAAAGCAAGGAAGGTGAGTGCTGCAGAGGGTACGAGTAGTAAAAGGCGCAACAAAACAGCAGATTTAGGATGTCGAAAAGAGAAAAAGGAGTCTGAGGCACTCTGTTTTAGTGAAAAAATAAAAGTCCTTTATTGAATTGGTCAGGGCATAAATAATCTCCTTCAGGTGTGCCTCTTTTAAAAACAAGACATGTCACATGACAGGAAGAACATGTGACAGGATAAACACAGCGTTACTTTACACAATAAAAAAATAAAAGTTTTTACAAAACATTTTTACAAAAGATCACCAGTGTGACTCGAGTCAGAAAAGAATACAAAATATTTCAGAAGGACATAATAATATGTATATAAATAAATGAACCTGTGTACACAAAAACAAATACACATGGAGCGCCACTGGTAAAAGTCAGGAGAGCTAGCATATAACTGTACAAGTTTATTTTATTATTAAACGGTACTTCTGCATCGGCGAACACACTCGAAGCAGTTGCATAAAGTCACGGGAGCATGAAAACTCACATGTTAACAAGCACACAGTCCCCGATTGTCAACCCTGGTTTAGTCCTGGTTTAGTCCTGATGTAGCTCCTGTTTTGGCCGTTTACAGTATTTTCAGTCTGCTCGCTCAGTCCGCAAAAGTCCCCGTGACCACTTTGCGGCTCTCTGATTGGTTACTGCACAAGCGTCCCGAGGAAAGGTTGAGCAAAATTCATCTCCTGCGTTCCTCCTCTTCGACTTCCCAGCGTGATCCGTGCGTGCATTCCGAGACGTTCGTGCGTTTTGACGCTCGAACGCGCGTCACCATTGACTTTGCATTGAAAGCCGACGCAGCATGATCCGGTCTGAACGCGGCATTATGTTCACATCCTGCACATGGTGACCCATGTGGATGGGACAGATGGCCAAAAGGAATAGAGCCGCTGCTTCTCCAGGTCGAGAGGAGTCAGTTGAAGTGGCTCCGACATTGTTTTAGGATGTCTCCTGGACGTGTTCATGTTCCTCCGGGAGGAGACCTGGTGTAGACCTCGAACCAGGGCCGGAGGAGCTGTGTGTGGAGAGGGAAAGCTGTGCGTCTCGGCTCCAACTGCTATCATTACTGTTTGTGTTCAATATTCAGAATCACATTAATGAGGTGGTGGTTTTCTTGAGAAAATTACCTTTAAAAGGATGTATGAAATGTCATGGTAGTCATTTTAACCACTAATGACCTCTAACATCAGGGGCCACTGATATCAGGATGACATGATTTAAATCATCTGCAGTAAAATCATTTAAAATAAACTTAACTTAATAAGATAATATGTTGTAGTATAGTTTATGTCTCAGCCACTTGGTGCTCGGGCTTTAACCAAGACATATTTGTAAAACTGATTAACCTACAGATGATTCTGATGATTAATCAATGAGTTGTTTTGAACAGATTAAAAAAGCTGAAATGAAGCAGTCACTGTGTTGAGGTCTAAGGTCTGTTAAAGTGTGAGCAGCGTTAAGATTCTAAGATCGATACGTTCTCTTCTTGGATCGAAGGCCCCAGAGTCTCTGAGGGATGATGTCCTTAGATTATTGTTGAATAAACTGCTGAAGTCTGAAGTCTTTGATTCTAACCCTGTTGTTGTTGTTCACACAGACCTGAACTACTGCACCAACCACCGGCCGTGTCAGAACGAGGCGTCCTGCACCAACACTGGACAGGGCAGCTACACCTGCAGCTGCAAACCCGGATTCACCGGAACCAACTGTGAGATGGAGACCAACGAATGTGACAGCAACCCCTGCAAGAACGGAGGCAGCTGCAGCGTAAGCTCCAGTTCATTCACACTTTGAAGGGATTTGAAAAGGGTCAGGGCCTCATTCTGCGGACAGGGAGTACATTTATTTATTTATTTATTGTTTTTTTGGTTGGGACAGTACATGTTAATGAACACATCACTCCGGATTGTAGCTATGGGCTAATTTGCATCCGTTGTCCCACATTCACACTCACAAACACATCATTGAAATCATTCACCCTGAACTATTGCACATGTTTTTAGTTTGTGTGTTTCCTTCTTTAGGCCTTTACCTTTGAGCAGATGAAGCACGTCCTGTTAATTCTCAATATTTAATCCGTAAACCTGTCAGTGCAAGTGAAGCATCAAACGTATCAGATTGATGATGGTGTGGCCCAAATTCATGGAACAATGAAGGCTGAGCTCAACAACACCAACCTGAAAGACCAAGACCAAGACCACACCATCAAGAATCGTATGCGCTCCTCTCTCCAGTAGGGGGCGCATACGAGTCCGTGTCGACGATCAAGAGAAAACTCCACCAGAGGAAATACAGAAGACCCACAATGTAAACTACTGGTGAGCTGTAATTACATGGACAAGTAGAAAGACCTGCTTCCATCTACGAGAGATGGAAGAGTCTGGAGAAGGAAAGGGTTGGACTCATGATCCGGGTCCTCTATGGCGCTGTGGGCATGTGTGGCGCCAATGAAACTGGTTCCTTTGTTGGTGTGTTTTGGGTAATATCATCTTCCTAAACGCATTGGGTGGAGCTCTCAGTGCAGATTGGCAAAAACATAATGGAAAATCTCCAGGGAAGCCAAAGAGATGGAATTTTACACAAGTCAATCAATGGACCTGAATCCGACTTCTTGAAGAGAAGAAAACCAGAAAAGAAAAAGCCCAAGCCCCAGTGACCCAAGATGTCTTCCCATCTAAATCAATTGCATGTGCTCTTTGGCATACGCTCGCACCACGGAGGCTGAAATATTAGTGGAAGTGACGCATTTTTGGTCATCTCTCAGAGCGGGACCAGTGCCGAAAGTGTAGATTTAAAAGAAAAGCAATGGATTTCAAATGAGAACAAGTTAAGGATGACAATAGACTCTGAAATCTCCATAAATCAGACTTTTGGTTCCCTATTGGCTGAGGATGAGCTGATCCATATAACATAATACATCTATGAAAGGGCCTCATGTGTTAGCAGGAAGTGAGCATCAGTAAGTCTGGTGATGTCTGTCCGATTTCAGGTTGTCATTGACTGCGAAGGATTGTTTACCGAGTATAACATTCATTTCGACACTAATTTGGATGTTAATATTCTCAAATGAAAGCAAACACTCTGCACTGAAGCCAATCTAGTTGTTTTCAATTCAAATCCATTGGGGTGAATTGTAGAGACTTTGTGTTTATGTTCCAATATTTATGGACCTGACTGTTCCTTTATCAATGCATACGCTCTGTTTCCTGTTTATTCTTGTAGTAGAACATACAATAGGTCTGCTTCACCTTGATATAATTCCTCTACCGTTTTCTACCGTCTTATACCCCACATTTTTCTATTCTAAGATAGATCCAAGTGAGTCATTAGACCAGAATGGCGCCTAGGTTTTCGTTTTCATTAACAAATATAAAATGCGCCAAAGGTCCATGAGAGGAGACAGTTGGACGCTCTTAAAGTTGAAGTGTCTGATTTTCAAAACAAGCGCTTCGCCGAGATAATCCACCCCACCTCATAATGCACATTGGATCGGTGCTTTAGGTTGAACACAATAAAAAGGCCACTCGGAAATGTTTTAGTTTATTATAGCCATTGTGCCTTAAGCATCGGTGCTGTACTGCTAATGTCAAAACATGGATGGATTATCTCGGGCAAAGAAGAAGGGCTCACTGGCAGATATTGTTAAAAGACATATTTTTTTATTGTTCACGTCACTGTAGAGTCCATGAGAGGTGACCATAGCCTCCAAACAGAAAGTTGCTCATAGCTCATTGATTTTCCATCATGGAAGCACTTTTTTTCAAGGAAATTGTAATTTATTTAAAGATGAGTTTGGGTAGTCTTTTCTGGTTGACCCTTTTGTACAAACTGGGCCAATACCAAGGAAGGCTTGTTGTTGTAAAATGGTACGTCCATTTGGATTTACTATTTACTAAATATGTTTATGGTTCAGCGTTTAGAATTCATGGTGGTAATGGTTTGATATGGTTTCACAAGACAATTAACTTAAAAATGTGTATAGTTGAAAGGGATGCTGAAATTAACCTCAAAATGCGTCTAAATAACAAGCTATGATGTCTCCAGGTCTTCTAAAGCGTTCACATTTTTTAAATATACTTTTTTACTGAATCCTGATGGGACTTTTTCTCCCTTTGACTCCCCCATTGACTTTCTGTTGAAAAAAACTCCCGTAGTTACATTCTGTCATGTGTATGTCTCTTTACAGACAGAGGTCCAATTTTGTGTCCACTGAGTCCTTGGTTGCAGGACAATACAGGATTATCAAACATGAATCAATAGAAATGAAAATCAGGGTAAGAACAAGAATAAAATCTCAAGAAAATGTACTACATCATCTTCGTTGCCTATAAACATATTGGCTATAAAATATGTCTTGGAGGTTGTCTTAGGTAGTATGATACTTGATCGAGGATTCTCTAGGGCCAGACACATAGATGTTTAAAGGCAGAGCGCACCAATCTGCCTGCAACTGCTTATTAAGGACGCAAATCGTGTTGACCCGGGACAAACAGAGTGAATATTCATCTAGTTTGTTGGTCCGGTTTTTCTACTCTACAGACGCATACAAGGCTCTATCTGTCGACTGATTGGTCCCCAAAGAGTTTGCGAATTAATAGCAATGATGCAGTACATAAGCTAAACATCGGGGGCACTACTCACTACCAAGATGGCCGTCCAGATCTTTCCCGCCAGAGTCTGCCCGCCTTAGAAACTTGTAGACTTATGTGTAGTTCCTGTATAGTTTCACTCTCTCTCCCTCACGTTTGTTGTGGATTGGTTCTCTTTGTGTATGAATGGATTGACATTGAAAAGGATTGTTACTCACTGACCTCTTTTTGGACTTTACCAGAGAATAAACTAGTCTAAAGAAGCCATAACAAACTCACAATCCGGAGAGAGTCAACCTACAATACAATAGAGGGAAATGAAAAGCGGACACTGGACTGGACTGGACAGGGCTATGTTGTGGTCCAATGTTACGAACAGTTGCAAACTTGCAAACTGTCATATCCCCACGGAACCAATTCAGTTATTCAGTGAGTTTTGAGATCTTTGCATTATACGTCCAGGATGTGGCTTCAAACCTTCGACTTTATTGAAGGACTCGTATTACCTCCTCTGAGACGTACGGCAACACACCATCGACCACCACTGGAACCACAACACAGAATTTGTTCGTCCATGTCACACTGAGCCCCAGGAATTTTGGTCGAAACCTCTCAAAACTTGACTTACATTATCTGCACTGAAAACACACATTAACAGTAAAGTTGTGTGTCCAAATAAATCTCGTTTTCCATCATGGTGTCGTACTGACCAATCAGAGAGCTGCTTTGAATCACACAAAATCAGTACAATGGTTGGCAATGGTCTGATTGGTGTGTTTTGGGCTTTAGTCTCAAAGATGTTAGATTATAATCTTGCTCAGACAGATAATTTTTACTTGTAAGATTTAGGAGTCTTGTTGTTTGACTCCAGCAGTAGAGTTGTGTTTTTTGATGGCGGCTTTTGCGTTGGAAAAACTTGCCGAGAGAGTCACTTGTCGACGGAAAAAATGCTATTTTCTGGAAACAAACGCTAAAAAAAGTATGATTTCTCTGTTCCGCCATAGACACATCAACCAATCATGTTTACCCAATACTGATCAAGGTTCTCTCTCCTTCATTTCTCAATAGGAAATGAGTGAGGAAGTCCCGCCCACAGAGGACTAAGGAGGAGGAGACAAATAAAGAAATATGGAAAGAATTATGGTTTTTCTGACAGAGGTGGACAACAGAAGCACCTCTCGTTCCGTAGGGTCTCATGGCTCCTTCCTCAATACCTGCCACCTCTAAATGACGATCAGATATTCCAGCTTTGGGGCTTGAATGTATTTAAGTGATCTCCTACAGACTTGGTTCTGGTGACACCCTCCTTCAGTAACTTTTGATGCATGTATGTGACACATTTTTAGATCATCCTTTTACAAAGCGTGCACTTCTGGAGGTCATCTGGCCTATACATGCAGTGCTAGACCGTTTTCTTATTTTCCAACCCGCAGATGATCCGGGTAGAGGGCCTCTTTCTGCATGTTTGATAAGGAGATCCAGAGACAGAACCACGGAACCAAGGATCCTCTGTGTAGGGGAGATTATAGGGTTTATACTGACTTCAACACTTGTTTAACTTTTGCACTTGCACACATTGAGCTCAGTGTAACATTGAGGAACAGTATTAAACACTCTCTAAGTTTGTGCATCAAGGTGAGGTCAGTGCCCAACAGGTATTAGACTACAAATCCTGAAGGAGAAAAACTGGATTTGCCCCATGTCTCTTTGGCTCATTGGTGATGAGCTTATGAACCTAAAACGTCCAACATAAAATGCAAAAAATGTTATACTATTGAAAGTATTGGCAGCTAGACTAGAGCCCTCTTCTTACAAAAACATAGGCTCGGATGGAAGGGGAAGAAAGGAGTTGCAACCTGCTGGTAAGTACAATCACTGTGTCAAAGTTTTTGCTTTAGAGGCCTGGAACAACCAATCACTTTTCAAGAACTCAAAGTGACAAAGTGTGTCTGGTCTCACTGGAACTAAAATCAGAACCATCGAGTCTGACTGACAGCAATACGAATTCCCAGTGCTTTGCTTTCGGAACATCCCTTTAACCACAGCTGTGACTCAGACTGTGGCGGAAATAAAAAAATTACTTTTCAATCATCAGCATTCAAATTGAGATACACCGATCGTTGTTCTGACGAGGACTTGTTGTAAACTCACTGTTTAGGGGAAAGAACTGTCTGTCTTACATATTATCAATCAATCAATCCTTTTATTATCTCACAGATTGAGAAATTCAGTTCGATGAATAAACATCAAGGCCAGCGGCGGAAAACATATCCGCGCTCCTTATGACAGTTATTCAACAGCAAAGAGCAAAACAACATATACTTCAACAAACATTCTAGGAGTATCACAGTGCATGCGGGAAAGCATGCGGATCTTTTTAAGGGGACATTGTCACTCTGACCCGCCTCGTCCAATGTGGCGTGTCAGAGGAGAGTGTGGGTGGGGGAGGTGGAGGGGAAGACCACAGTAGACAGAAAAGAGAGAGAGGCAGACATGTAGAGGGAGGGGTATATACACACCAATAAAAAACGTAAGTGTTAAATTATATATTACCGTCGCACAAGTATCAGATGAATTTTGAATGCAGGGAAACGTCTAATAAAAATTTAGATCAATCCATTTTCCCGTGATCTGCTTTTGAATTACACATAATCTGGACTCTCTGGTGATTTACTTTTGCACAACTGAAGGAATTGGCCGAGCCCAATTAAAAATGGATTCATCAAAAACATGTAAAAACAAGGAACAAGATTGAGGTGTCAAAAATGAATTGTGTAAACTTTTGGAGAGGCCTTTTGGAGTCCAATATTTGTCTTGTGTAACCGATAATATCTGTGGGAAAAGGTGCATTTTGGAGAGAACTGATTCAGAACTAGTCAAGTTTCTTTGTTTGGTTTGCTACACAAAGTTAGAGTAAAAACCACGCTGCGGAAAGCAAAGAACTTCTCACCTCAAATCAAATACTGCATATAAACAAGAGGTTTCTTATCTACATTTCTAAACGTTTTGTAAGGTTTTCCACATTGTCTTTGATCTACTGTAGACTTGGACAGCGTGGTCTTTGACTGGTTTGTGGCCAAAGACAACATGAATTTAGCACAGTCCAAAATATCTGTAAATGTCGTGAGTGAGAAACCAAAACTTATGTTATAACTCTATGTATTTCATTGCATTTTCAAACACAATCTCTCTATCTCTGGTCTGGACATGTACACCATAATTCCCATTGATTTTTTGAATTTGTTGTATGTACATAGTCTGAAACCTCAATATTATTTCATGTTTTGACCACATTACCCATTTACAGTTTGAGCAACACATCTCTCACATCCTCATCATTCATCAAAGTTATCAGAGATCAGGACCATTAGCACTAGCTAGAGTTAGCCACACTAGCAATGAACTCTTGGAGATTATAGGAACCATATGCACACGTAAGTACACATAGCACCAGCCCCTGTGTATTGGATGCACCTCTGACTGCCACCCCCGACTCAGAAATGGATTAAGGTTGAAGAAAATGGGTGAATGGAACATATGCAAGATTTAATGTAACTATGGTCTGCTTCCCCCATGAGCAGAACATACCAAACCAAATACACATCTATCTTTATGACATTTTTGATTCAAACTCACTCTTTTAGGTCATTTTGGTCAAATCAGTTCGTTTGGTCACTATTTTTAGACTGTACTATGTTTTGCTTTTGTTAGCGGTGAAATCAAATGTGACCTGGCTAGCCCTGGTCTAGACCCTCATGTATTAATGTATGTATGTAAATGTTGTGTTCTGGCTGATCATTCAGACCCTGGGCAACAGTTTTGGGGTTGCTCTATATTCGCAGGGTTCAAACTCGCAGCAAGGAATTAGTTCTAAATTATAGCTACTTTTAAGACAGTAGTAGTTCAAGCCATACTTGATTGTTTGAAATTATAATTAACCTTAAACAGGTGAAACAACAGGAGATATTTCCCCTTTTCTAGCCTCCGTAGCATTTCCATCCAAACTCATTCATAGTGAATTGTACTGAGACGACATTTTCTTCTTGCAGGATTTGGTCAACGACTACTCCTGCACCTGCCCTCAAGGATTCTACGGGAAGAACTGTGAGATTAGTGCCATGACCTGTGCCGACTGGCCGTGCTTCAACGGAGGGACCTGCGCAGAGAACCAAGATGGCGGCTACAGCTGCAGGTGCCTCCTGGGCTTTACCGGCTCCAACTGTGAGAAAAAACTAGACCGCTGCAGCTCCAACCCCTGCGCTAACGGTATGCATTGCTATTTTTACATTCATTGGATTCACCTTAGGACACTAAAGCTACAGTAGTCACGTCGAAGCTTGCGAAACAGACTTATCTCCGAATGCTATCAAGGCATCTCCATTCACAGTCCGTAGCTTGTCAGGAATGCTAGCTTGTTCCTTGTTTGTTTTGCAAATTTTTTGTCTCTCGTGCTTGCCAACCACTCAACAACTTCCACAGAAATTGCAGAGAAAGCTATACCGCTTGCTGGGAAGGACTTGACAGATGATTGTTTGCAAAAATACATGCATATCGGCAGCTGTCCCTCAGGTCTTCATTAGCAAAACTAGCTTCTAGCTTATCTCGCATCTGTAATCATTCCTTCTTCCCTCTCAAGTGTTTTCAGTTGTGCAACTGGCTGAAAAAGCAACGCCAAATATGGAGCGAGTGCCGTGTTTTTACAGAAAAACTCACAGTTTATCCTAACACATAACATCTGTTAGAAAGAACAAATGTACATGGACGTTTTCTGAGATTATAGGGTTATCCTCATGGCATTGTTTTGGGTCCTAAAATATTCTTAAAGACGACATCATACATAGACAACAAATATTTCTTATAATTATATCTTTTGAAAATCTTAACTCTAAAAATGAATCTAAAACAGTTTAATGAAATAAACTAGTCCCTTTAATCCTTCACATAGCAACGTCACTATAACTCAATAGGGATTAGTCAGCTATAGTGACGACGCTAGTTAGCATTCTAATGGCAAAACCTGTTCATGTTTTGTATGAAAAACTAGTCCCTGCGGATGTTTGTAAGAATTCCATCATATATAGTTCTGTTTTCAAAAAGCAACAAAGATCTATAGTCTAGTTTTTTCAATTCAAAATGAATATACGTATATTTTGGTTATAGGATTTATAAGGAACAGCAGAAAGGAAGAGGAATGAGATTGCTGGAAAAAACTTCTATATATACTGTCACGGATGGTTTAAGACACATTTGGTTGTGAGAGATGTTGTTAGACTACTACACAGTGCCGACATAGCAGCAAATGTTTGTGTTCATTCCAAAATGTCTGAACGAGGCTGTCAAATCAAAAGGATCAGTCAAATATGTACGCCATAAACTATGTGAGCTGGAGTTTTGAATTTCTCAGACTTAAAGGGGACCTCACATGCACAAATCTACTTGCTTTTTACCTTGTTATAATTGTTTTCCAAGTTGAAGAGTAATTTCTTATTCGCCTTGCGATTCGGCCTCTTATTTTAATTAGGCATGACATGTTTATTTGTATAGCACAGTTCAATTGACTTTGACAATACTTTCCTTGTTGACTGATTTTTGTTCCCCAATTTGTGAAAAGATTTAGCAGTGTTGAGCAGTTTGGTGAAATATCCTCCGATTGCTAACTTCATCTGCCCAAAGCCTGCAGGGACTGAGTGTGTTGGCGAGTTTCTTTTATGACAATGTTTTAGCTCAATATTGACTTTTCAAATGGACTAAATTTATTATGATAATAAAGCCATGGTTGTCAAATATTCAAATTGTGAAGCTGGGGAGACCTTTTGTCAGACCCGCCCCCAGCGCTTCCTGATTGGACGCAATGAATTCAAAACCTGGCTAGACAGTTGAAGCTCCTTTCCCATTGGTCGAACTATTCTTCTCCAGCAAATCTTACCGGTGATACTTATTCCAAGATGATGGACTGTTTTAAATACATTTTTATGAGAAATACTTAATATAGATGACACTACTAGGTCACATGGTCAAAACTAAATACAATAGAAGAGGCAGACATCCCCTTTAACCCATGACTCATATAGCATTTCTTCATCTCCTCTTTAGGTGCCCAGTGTTTGGACGTCGGTAACCGCTTTGTGTGCCGCTGCCGTCCTGGCTTCTCCGGACTTAGATGCGACACCAACATCGACGACTGCGCTAGCAACCCCTGCAAGAACTCCGGCACGTGTCTGGACGGCAACAACGACTTCGCCTGTTCCTGTACGCTAGGCTACACCGGCAAAGACTGCTCCATCCGGGACAGCCCCTGCACCAGCTTCCCTTGCGCCAACGGAGGAACTTGCTTCGCCCATTTCACCGGCCCGGTTTGCCAATGTCCTGCGACGTACATGGGAGCTAGGTGTGAATTTGAAGTCCAGACCGAAGTAGAGGCACCAAAACTGGCCTTGAACCCCACTCCGGTCATGATGGTAGCTTTCGCGTTGGGGTTTGTCACTCTCGCTTTGCTGATGGCCACTGCGGTTTTCATTCTCCGTCAGCTTCGGAAAGGTTCGCTTCTAGCCGCTACTACCTCGGTGAAAAACGATTTGGACTCGGTGAACAATCGGAGCGCGGTGATTGGCGGCGGTGGGACGCAAAACAACGGAGCTAGCATGAAAGAGAAAGAGCATTTCCTTATCCCAGGCCCTCATGTCAAAGTGTCCAATAAGAAAGCAGCGCTGGAGATGGCTAACGACGGCTACAAGAGCAAAATGGCGGATTCCAAGCTAGCAAAAGACGACAAGAACGTGCTGGATTTGTAAGTAGCGAAAAAGTGTGTCATTTTTTTATGTCTTTTGTCTGGAATTCGGCGTTCAGTGCCTAAACTTTGTGTTTCAGTAAAAAGCGTGAGTCGGCAATCCTCGTTCCTCAGACGAATCTTGGGAAAGAAAACTTGTACCATCCTACTTATATAATTCCGGACCATTTGGACCATTGTGTTGTTGCTACGGAGGTATGGACAGATATACACATACATGAACTTTTGAATGACTACACTGCAAATATCCAATGTCTTAAAGTTGCTTGAATTCAGGTGTTTATTCTAGATGAGGGGCCCAAACCTTTTTAAATATCTGTCTAGTCCAAAATGTATTACCTCCATTTTGCCTCAAAAATTTTATTAGCAAAAAGATTCAGTATCAGATTATTGTAAATTCTACTCTTTTCATTCTTTTTTCTTATTTACCCTACACTACCATATACCCAGCACACAATCCTATCCATATAGTGGCTACGTACAAATGTCACCGACCATGCTAGCTCCTTTTGTGGGCCGAGTTTAGCTCACGGGCCACGAGTTGGACACCACCAATTTAGATGTATGTGTTTATCAATTTAAAAAAAAACTAAAAATTAGTCTTTCTCGGGACACGGTGGACAAAAGTGAATGTAAAAAGTGTATTGTGTCTGTGTGTTTGAGGTCATTTAGCAGCACTAATAATAAACATTTGTACATTTAGCATCACCACAACGAATTAACGCAAAACTGTGAGACTTCCTACAGAAATGACTTATTCACCGGTGTCACCATCACATCCTCAAATATAAAATCCAATAAATTCTTCACACATTTCTCTTACTGAAATCTATGCGACAAAATGGACACTTCTGTAAAGCTGATGGAAGACAATAGAGGAAACATGAGTTAAATGCAGATATCTGTGGGTTTTTTCAGCTATAACAAAAATAACATTCTCCTTGAAATTTACAAAAGTTGGAACCCAAAGAAGATTTAGGATGTCGAAAAAAGGAAGTCGGAGGCGATCTGTTGAAGGAACAAAACTATAAAATGGACTGCCTTGGACTAATACTTTGGGACTTTTAATTGATTGATATGTATTTCATTATGGAATCTATATTATTTCAATGTATTTTTACTTATGCAGTTAAAAGGGTTTGAAATGGTCAGAAAAAAAGAGTATGTTTATGATCGTCAATGCAATCCCATTTATTATGATATAGCACAAGTTAAAACCATAACATTCACATCTGAAAAATACATATTGAAATTAAATTAAATGTAGCTAAAAATGGCTACAATTTTTTTTAAATATATATAATAGGAAATACAAAAAAACATGGAAAATGTGTTAATTTAGCTAAACTTGCTAAATTCTGAAACTCCTGAATTCAAGTCCTTTTAAATAATCTAGAATTTTTTGTATTTATTTTAACACAAATGTCTTCTGTGTCGTTTCAGGTCTGATCCTGTTTCCTGTTTTGGATCATTTGAGCAAGACAAGTTTATTTTTTCATTGCTGAGGACTTTTTTAATTGTTATTTTTATTTAATAATTATTGCTGCTGACAAAGAACAACTAAATGGGCCTATTTTGGGTCTGGCCTTTTTTTGCACTATTTATACTTTTTATACCTTAAATCATAGTGAATTTTTTTATGATTTTTAAAAAGGAAAACAAATCTTCTCTTTTTTGGGGATTTGATATGGATTTTGCCGCTGTAAAAGAAAAAAGCAATGAAAAAGGCCTTGATTATGTTTTTCCACGGCTGTAATCAGAGGATGTGCAGAGACAATGATGAGAACGAGGACTTTTTATAAAAAATTTGGAATCGTTGAGACCAAGATGCCTTAAAAATCCCGGTCGGAAAGTGCCTCTACGGAAGAAATCTGGGAGGAAAGAAGTAGCTCCTGGTTTTTACACAATCGTCACCGAGAGATAATCTGCTTCTGACAATGTTCAGTAACAATCTGGAATGTTCCGGAACGTTCTGGAAAGTGTGTGTTTTTAGCTGAAGTCGACTTTTACGGAGAGTGTTGGAGAGGACTGACCACATGCTTTTAGGAACACACACACATATATATACACACAGACACACACGTATTTACACACACATATATACACGCAGACACACACGTATATACACATACAGACACACACACATATACACACAGACATGCATATATTTACCCACACATATATAAACACATATATACATACACATATACACACATAAACAAATACGCACACACTTCAACACATACACATGTATACACATTTGCACAGGTATAAACATACACACACATATCTGTATACACACGCATATTCATAATTGCATGCAGACACACACCTATACGCACCTACACGCACGCACATAGACGTACACACACACACACACATATACAGATACACACTATTGGGATGATAACACACACACACTTCACTCGCACATATACACAAATGCTCACACACATGCACACACACATACACAAATGCTCACATACATGATCACACAGACACATACACACACACAGACACACACTCAGTGGCTGTTGTGTCATATCCCATTGTTTTGATTCCCGGTGGTCGTCACTTGAAGCGCTGCAAAAAAATTACATTTCCTAAAATACTGTATATTTTCACCAACATTTTATAATCTATGGAAACACTAACACGACAACGCATCTATTCTGAACAACACAACTCCAACAGACTCTGATATCAACATTTTCTTTTCTTTTTCACCAGAAATATGCTATTATTCTCTCACAGTTCAGTCATAAATTTAATGAAATGCAAATTTTTTTTACAATGCCGTTCATTAATTTTGATTCCACGTTTTTATCACATTTTCAGTGGATTTCAATTAAATTAAGTATAAAACAGTAAACAACAGAAAACATACAAGAAAAACATGTCAGAAAAGTTAGGATTGAGAAATCAAATCCTCAAGGGCAATTTTTCAGATTATTATTATTATTATTATTATTAATTCAATGTTTTATTATTTTACCTAAGTTGCCTGAGCCTGGGGAAAGACTGAAAAAGTGAGACCTCGACCCACCTGTAGGGAACCGCTGTGATACACGGCTCATTGTGCGGTTTTTCCCCAAAGGCAAAAAAAATCCACTGATCGCTAACATCATCTGGGTTGGTTTTTTTAATCAATAGCTTTTTTATTTATTTTTAATTTTTATTCCAACGAGTTCAAACAACAAAACAAAAACACACACCAACACAAAAATGACAACAAAAACATAAACTACATACATACCCTCAAAACATCCACTGATCGCCAACTTCACCCGTGGTTTGAGCGGAGCCTGCAGGGCCTTTGTTGTGACTTGTTTTTATTACGGTTCATTATGATTTTCTCACAGTTTTAGATCCATTTTGTGCCGAATTCACCAAGAGCTGAGCTCATTCTCCTCCTTCCTCTTCTTGTTCTCATTCTTCTTCCTCTTCTTCTTCTTCTCATTCTCCTTCTTCCTCTTCCTCTTCTTGTTCTCATTCTTCTTCCTCTTCTTCTTCTTCTCATTCTCCTTCTTCCTCTTCCTCTTCTTGTTCTCATTCTTCTTCCTCTTCTTCTCCTTCTCCTCCCCCTACACATCCTCCTTCTTCTGCTTCTTCTTCCACTTCCTCTTCTTCTTCTCATTCTTCTTCTTCCTCCCCCACTGCTTCTTCTTCTCATTCTCCTTCTTCCTTTTCTTCTTCTCATTCTTCTTCTTCTTCTTCTCCTCCTCCTCCTCCTCCTCCTCCTTCTTCTTCTTCTTCTTCTTCTTCTTCTTCTTCCTCTACTTCTTCTTCTCCTACTTCTTCTTCTTCTTCTTCTTCTTCTTCTTCTTCTTCTTCTTCTTCTTCTTCTCCTCCTCCTCCTCCTCCTCCTCCTCCTCCTCCTTCTTCTTCTTCTTCTTCTTCTTCCACTTCCTCTTCTTCTTCTTCTTCTTCAAAACTAGCGATACCAAAAATCTGTGTTCCGTGTGTCTGTCCTTTTCCTGTTAATTTATGGAAACAATGCAATGTGTAAATATCCTTCAGACTATATTTAATTTGACTTGTAAATAATCCGGTATTTATAAAAGTGTACATACGTCTGTGTTTGTGTCTCCGTCCAAATTGAGAAATATATTTTGTCATAAACACATTTTTTAAAACTATTTTTTGTGGCTGTGTTTTATCCACAGATTACTGTGACACTGTAGACCCAGGACTGAGGCTGTAGACCCAGGACTGAGGCTGTAGATTCTGGACTGAGGCTGTAGACCCAGGACTGAGGCTGTAGATCCAGGACTGAGGCTGTAGACCCAGGACTGAGGCTGTAGACCCAGGACTGAGGCTGTAGATCCAGGACTGAGGCTGTAGACCCAGGACTAAGGCTGTAGATCCAGGACTGAGGCTGTAGACCCAGGACTGAGGCTGTAGACCCAGGACTGAGGCTGTAGACCCAGGACTGAGGCTGTAGACCCAGGACTGAGGCTGTAGATTCTGGACTGAGGCTGTAGATGCAGGACTGAGGCTGTAGACCCAGGACTGAGGCTGTAGATCCAGGACTGAGGCTGTAGACCCAGGACTGAGACTGTAGATCCAGGACTGAGGCTGTAGATCCAGGACTGAGGCTGTAGATCCAAGATTTTTTTCCCATAAATTATACATTATATTTGTTCCAACACAAATAGTAAAACGTTCGAATCAGACCAAAACAAGCCGTCGTCACCTTTAAGTAGAGCCCTGTGAGTCTCTTTGACTCTTTGGGCTGAGCTCTGATTGGTTGAGTGAGATATGGTCTTTTCTTTGTAGCTTTTCTGTCTCAAAAACGGAACAAAAAAATAACCTTTAACTGTTTTGAGAGCCAGGAACTAGATACACGGATTCTGCAAATATAGATACATGTTTTGTGCTTTGAAAGTTATGCACCCCAGCTTTAAATTGGGTCCTGGTTTAACTGCAGCCTTGGTTTTTCCTGGAGTCTGTGGCGCTTGGAGGTGGAGGGCCCCCCACAGATGCAGCTGTCATGACCTCTGACCCCTGCACCACTGCTTGTTGTGGAAACAGACGGAGGAAGCAGGAAGAGGACATAAGTTATGATTGTACTCGGGGAAAAAAAGGGAAGAAGAAGAGATCAAAAAGAATGGTGTTTGTCTGAGACCTGGGACCCGGAAGAGTCCAGGTCTGAGCTGAGACCGGGGGCTTCGGTCTCAACGCAGATAGAGAAAGTTACCAAACTCATCATGAACTCATCAGGATTTTAGCCAAACCAAGACCTAAAAAAAGTCCTGTTGTCGGTCCTTTTTTCGGTCCATTTTTTGGTCCTGGTGTCGGTCCTGGTGTCGGTCCTGGTGTCGGTCCTGGTATCAGTCCTGGTGTCAGTCCTGGTATCAGTCCTGGTGTCAGTCCTGGTGTCAGTCCTGGTGTCAGTCCTGTTGTCAGTCCTGGTGTCAGTCCTGTTGTCAGTCCTGGTGTCGGTCCTGGTGTCGGTCCTGGTGTCGGTCCTGGTGTCGGTCCTGGTGTCGGTCCTGTTGTCAGTCCTGTTGTCAGTCCTGGTGTCAGTCCTGTTGTCAGTCCTGTTGTCAGTCCTGGTGTCAGTCCTGTTGTCAGTCCTGGTATCAGTCCTGGTGTCAGTCCTGGTGTCAGTCCTGTTGTCAGTCCTGGTGTCGGTCCTGTTGTCAGTCCTGTTGTCAGTCCTGGTGTCGGTCCTGTTGTCAGTCCTGGTGTCAGTTCCTGGTGTCAGTCCTGGTGTGCAGCTCGGTGTCGGTCCTGGTGTCGGTCCTGGTGTCGGTCCTGGTGTCGGTCCTGTTGTCAGTCCTGTTGTCAGTCCTGGTGTCAGTCCTGGTATCAGTCCTGGTGTCAGTCCTGGTGTCAGTCCTGGTGTCAGTCCTGGTGTCAGTCCTGGTGTCAGTCCTGGTGTCAGTCCTGGTGTCAGTCCTGGTGTCAGTCCTGGTGTCGGTCCTGGCACCAAACTCATAATGAACTCATCAGGATTTGAGCCAAACCAAGACCTAAATAAGAAAAAGGTCGCATCTCTCTGCTCCAATTTATTTCAATTTCAAACATTAAAATCTACATAAACATAAAAGAGCCGACCCCAAGACGTTCTTAGAAATCTGTGGGTTCAGAGTAGTTTGTGTTTGAGCAGCGGGAGAGAAAAGGAAACTAAAGCAGCGTGACGCCACAGGTCATCGGGACAGTAAGTGGGTCAGAGGTCAGAGGTCAGGGAGTCAGTGCTGGTGTCAGGGTGGGTTTTAGCCCTGGTGTCTGTCCTGCTGTCAGTCCTGGTGTCAGTCCCTGTCCTGCTCCTGGTGCCGCTGCCGATTTGTATTTGGGCTGTTTTGCTGTGTCTGCAGTTACAGCCAGAGGAGTTATAGCCACTTATGCTAACATGCTACTGTGTTTAGCACATGGATCTATAATAATAACTGGATGGTGTGTTTTTAGCTTGGAGCTGAAGGACCCATGTGCTCGGGGGATTCTCGCGGTACTGCAGACTAAACCAGACTAAATTCACGTGGGCTACCCAGAAATTTTCCCCATAGAACTCAATGTAAACTAAAATAACTCGACCTCAGCTGACAGAGAACCTGACAGAGAACCTACAGCTTTCATAAAGGTCGGATTTTGTGGGGATTTTAGTGTCCCTTGACATCCTGAACTTTTTTTCTTCTTAAATCCTTCGGTTTTCTTTAAATCCACACTTTACTGTCACAAACTCTGCTCGTCTGGCAATCAGAGCGCGGCCGAGCCCTTCTGTGCACGTGCATGACAGCCACACACGCGTATTTGGTGCAAAGCATCATGGGAGCTCGTCCACTGCCGAACCGGGAGGACCAGACGATGCCCAAATACAGGCGAGTTTCCCATGGATCTTTGCGAGTTTCAGGCGACTTCCACTAATCTTTCAGCCCCCATGCTGTCACAAAGCGCCACTGAGCACAACCATTCATTTGAATAGGGCGCCATCTTGGATCGCCGGGGCTTGGTTTAGCAGCACTGCAGAGGACGCAGCCTCATTCTGTGATTGAAGGGGAACGTCTCTACTCAGCACTTTTTACGGCCTCAATTCATACACAGCTGAATCAATGAGCTCAAGTTTTCAATTAAATTACGGATTATAATACAATTTGTTTGCAGTGATACGCTTTTTTATTAACTCATTAGAAAAAAAATCGGGTATAGATTCTTTAAATCCAGGTTAAAAACTGTTTTGTTTCGCTGCAACTGAAAGATCCTTTTGCATGTTCTGTGATTATTGTTTATTTTTATTCTTTATTTCTTGTTTACTTAAGTACTTTGAGTTTCCTTGTGTATGAACTGTGTCTAATAAACTTGCCTTTTTAAGTTTTTACGGCACATGTCACAGACCAAGGTTTTTCTAGAATCCTGAAATTGCTGCTTTTGTTCTTTCCGCGACCGTGGCGCGTCGTAGAAGCCGTCACCCGAAGTCCACAGATGATGGTCGTCAGGTTCACAGACACAGAGATAGTTTTTCCCACAGTGCTTTGCAGCTCGGTGTGTGTGTGCAGCTGACCTGTGGCCTCTGCGGCGTGGGAACAGGACGAGCAGGAGAGGCGTGACGAGCAGGAAACAGCGGCGGTGATGAGACCAGCAGACACCCAGCACCTGTCTCCAGAGGTGCCACTGCTCACAGGCACAACGGCAGCGGGACACGGGGGAAGGATGTCAATGGGCAATGCTAACATGCTAACATGCTAGCTCCACACGAAAACCTGTGGCTTAAGAATCAGACCAGGGACTAGTTTTTCTGTCCATCAATCATTTTAAACTGGAGTAAGGGGAAAATTTGGATGCGACCATTTGTCTTGTTTAGGTCCTGGTTTGGATCCAGTCCTGGTGAGTTCATTATGGCTCCTGGTCTCAGCTCAGACCAGGACTCTTCCAGGTCCCGCTCCTGGTCTCAGCTCAGACCAGGACTCTTCCAGGTCCCGCTCCTGGTCTCAGCTCAGACCAGGACTCTCCCAGGTCCCGCTGTCTCCAGGTCTCAGACTAACACCATTCTTTAGATCTCTTTCTCTTCACTTTTCTCAAATCCAATCATAACTTATGGTCCTGTTCTTGCTTATAGTCCAGAAAGTGCGGTACCATTGGTCATGCTTTTTGTAGTGTCTGTGCATCACCATGGAAACACCGTGGAGACACCATAGAGACACCATAGAGACACCATATAGAGACCATAGAGACACCATAGAGACACCAGAGAGACACCATAGAGACCCATAGAGACCATAGAGACACCAAGGGGACACCATACAGACACCATGTGGATATTGAGTGTGTCTCTTTGATGCAGTGACTCAGACTCAATGTTTCTGTAAGTTGTCAATTTGTTTATCGTTTTTCGGGAACTTGCTGCAAAACAGTTTTCGCTGGAAGCAGCTGGTCCTCAGAGTCCCAGCAAGAGGCCAGTCCCTGTGCTCCTCAGAGTCCCAGCAGGAGGCCAGTCCCTGTGCTCCTCAGAGTCCCAGCAGGAGGCCAGTCCCTGTGCTCCTCAGAGTCCCAGCAGGAGGCCAGTCCCTGTGCTCCTCAGAGTCCCAGCAGGAGGCCAGTCCCTGTGCTCCTCAGAGTCCCAGCAGGAGGCCAGTCCCTGTGCTCCTCAGAGTCCGTGTTGGTGAATATGGCAAATGCTCCTCTCTACATTTCATAATAATATCAATTGGATTGAGTGATGTTCCTCCGCGCTAACCCGGCGTTAGCAGCTAAGACCAAACTTTAAATACTTTACTTTTTGTATCGTCCTAAATCACAACTGTAATTATCTCGGGGGACTTTACAAAACCTTTGAATTCTCCAACACAGATCAGAGAATCAAACACAAGAAAAACACACAGGGACATTGGTCCCTAATTATCAATAAAATCCATAAATGTGTTTGAATGTGTCCTGGATCTAAACTGTACCTGTGAGCTCACTTATGCCTGGTGTGAAACAACAACGGTATATTTTTATTCCTTCTCCATTTCCTGTCATTGAGGACATTCCGCTGATGGTTGAGATCTGGGTATTTCTGATCCTGGGCCAGAATCCAGACCTCAGCCCGGTCCGGGATCAGCTCGGTCCGGGATCAGGAGGTTATCGCCGCTTCCTGTTCTTTTGCTGAGGATTTTACTGGAAACACTTCAGAATATCCACATTTAACCTCATGATGGGGGGTCGTTTTTAAAGAGGGACAGCTGGGAAAGGACAACGCAATATTTTCAAATCCTGTCACGCAATCATCGGCAACTTTCAGTCACAGGTCTGTATCTCTCTACATGACACACTGCAGGAAGTGAAGGAAAATCAGTCAAAAATTGTTCAAATTTGGTAAAAATGCAGTGATATTTAAGCTTGTTCTGACATAAAAAAAAAAGATTTTCCAACGGGACAAGAAGCAAAATGATCTTGTTTTTGAAAGATACAAGAAATATGAGTAAATAAAGATAAGATTATTGGTCCCACAGTGGGGAAATTTCAGTGTTGCAGCGCTGGACAGTACAATAGGACAGAAAGAGACACAGGGAGCACACACAATATACAAAATAAGTAGTAGCTATGTTTCTTAGCGATCTGTAAATGCTGTAAATGAGATTAAGATTAAGAGATCCTTTTTTCGTCCCACAGCGGGAAAATTCCAGTGTTGCATCACAAGTTATAGAACATTAGGAATGATGAGCACACAGCACAAGATAAGTGAACAAGAGCTATTAAAATAAAACAAAATCTCTAGCTCTAGCCTCATAAGAAAAGTAGATAATCTCTCTTGCTTCAACACCCAAAAAATATATACAGTATATGTGGTGCAGAGTTATATAATGAAGCAACAGCAGCACAGTGGGCGGCACCGTGGCTGAGTCCCGGTCAGAACAGGGCCTTTCTGAGTGGAGTTTGCATGTAAAAACATGTACAAGTGAGAGACAAATGCACACAATTGTAAACCGCTTTGACTCTGGTCTGTGAAAGGCGCTATATAAATAAAGATGACTTACTTACTTAAAAAAAAAAAAAAAGACTAAATGTATTTGTCCCATTGAAGAATCTAGTTTGAAATCAGTCTAAATGTGCTAAGATTAAGACAAAAACACGTATTTATTACCTCATTATTGATGCTTTTTTGCAGTGCAGACTAATTAATACACAAATGGGAATTACCTGTTTCTGCTTAAAGCTTGGGAACATTAATAAGAAATATTGTCTTAAAGGGATGGTCGACTCGGCACTAGATCATGTACGGAATCGGGACGAAACCGGAAGTAACAATCCTACTTTTGAATTAGTTTTAGACTACAAAAGTCCTTAAGTGGTGACTGGTTAAGTTTTAGGCGTCTGAGTAAGATGGTTACGGTCAGGGTTAAGGTGGTCTGAGTAAGATGGTTAAGGTTAGGGTTAAGGTGGTCTGAGTAAGATGGTTAAGGTTATGTCACGGGGTGAACTGAGTGAGGACTCAAATGCAGGAATGCCAAAATAAAGCTTTTAATAAAACAAAGTCCAAGGCAAAAAACAAACTCCAGAAATCCAAAGTAACCAGGACAGAACATGACAAAACAATGAAGCAGCAACAAGGGGAGAGAAGCAAAGGGTACTATAGACACAGGTGAAACACATCAAGGCGGGGCAGACAATCAAGACAGGGGAAAACAGGACCGGAAGTCAAACTGAAACAAAACCAAGAACTTATTTCAAAATAAAAGCAAAATACAAAATCAAAATCCACACCATGACAGGTTAGGGTTAAGGTGGTCTGAGTAAGATGGTTAAGGTTAGGGTTAAGGTGGTCTGAGTAAGATGGTTAAGGTTAGGGTTAAGGTGGTATGAGTAAGATGGTTAAGGTTAGGGTTAAGGTGGTCTGAGTAAGATGGTTAAGGTTAGGGTTAAGGTGGTATGAGTAAGATGGTTAAGGTTAGGGTTAAGGTGATCTGAGTAAGATGGTTAAGGTTAGGGTTAAGGTGGTCTGAGTAAGATGGTTAAGGTTAGGGTTAAGGTGGTCTGAGTAAGATGGTTAAGGTTAGGGTTAAGGTGGTCTGAGTAAGATGGTTAAGGTTAGGGTTAAGGTGGTCTGAGTAAGATGGTTAAGGTTAGGGTTAAGGTGGGTCTGAGTAAGATGGTTAAGGTTGGGGTAAGGCTGGGTTGGGGTTATTTTATGGGAATGGCTGGTTAGGTTTAGGCATGAATAGGTAGTTGGTACGGGTTAGGGTTAGGGTTACTACCTCTTCCGTCCCGATTCCGTATATGATCTAGTGTCGACCTTAAAGGTATAAATGAGGATTTTCTACTTCCGCGTGGATCATCAAGACTATTGGTCCTCCCAACTGTCAATCATTCTGGTGCTCCTCCAATCAGAGCAGAGAGTTTTGTTCAAAAAGTGGAGAAGGTGGTTCTTTGCAACCATTTGGGAAAATCCTCCAATAAACCTTTAATTTTAAAATCCATGAATAACAGATGTTTGAAACCAAGAGAAAAAGTCAGACCACGACCTGATGTATGAATTTTATTAGAGAAATGTTTATCTTCTGCATTGTTGTGAGAAAGATCCCTGTGAGTCACTGTTTCACTGTCGAGTGATGGTTTTCTTCTCTTGTTTACGTTTCTGTGTCACGTGGTGAACTGAATGAGGACCCAAAATGCAGGAATGCCAAAATAAAAGGAATTTAATGATGAAAAAATAAAAGTGCAGGAGAAAACTAACTCAAAATCCCAAAGCACAGGGAACACATGACCAGGAACACATAACCAGGAACAGGACAGAACAAATGTTGACAAGACAATGAAGCAGCAACAAGGGGAGAGGAGCACAGGGTAATTATAGACAGAGACACAGGTGAAACACATTAGGGCAGGGTAGACAATCAAGACAGGGGAAACAGGACGTCAAAGTCAAACTACAACCAAAGCACAGAGAACAGATATCAAAATAAAGCTAAAGTCCAAAATAAAATCCACACCATGACATTCTGTCTCTAAAGTGTGGCCAAAGATCCATGAGGAGAAAACTGGTGATGGAATATGTTTGTGTGGTTTAAAAGTGGTGTAGCCTCAGTTTGAACCTGTGAAAGCCTGATCCCAGCAGTGCTCCAAAGATAAGCAGGGCAGGGCCTGGTCAGTACTGTGATGGGAGACCTCTGGGAACACCAGGTGCCACAGTGGGGCAACTGCTGGCTGTAAAGTGCCAATCTGTGGTTGTGTCCTCAGGCAAGACACTTCACCCCCATTGGAGTGTGTGTGTGTGTGTCTTTGTATGTATGTGTGTGTTTCTGCAGTAAACTATATCAAACTGATTATTAATATTATTACTATTGACTTCTTCACTTCCTGATTGTGATAGACGACATGGAAGTGGATCTTTGTGTGATTTAAGAATGTTCTTTTTTTTGTCCGTGTTAAAAATGGTCGTTATCGTCGCAACAACTCCAGGAAATGGCCTGATTGTGGACATCCTTTTCTCACAAAACATTCTCTTTATCTCCATCAGGAATGTTGTCCACGGCTCCGAGGCACTTCACACCCGTGGTTCCCAATCTGTGGTCCCTGTGTACCCCCTCACCAGTGGGGACAGACCCAAGCACCAGCAGGGTGAAGTATGGATGTGTGAATGTAGTGTGTAAAGTTGTGTGTCTGTGAGAGAGGCACAGCTGCTGTAAACACACACTTTCCTGTTTATTCTCTGTTTACGTTCATTTAAAATAACATTAAAAATAAGTTCTAAACA